AAGAGAGGGGAGCAGGTCTGCAGGGGCAAAAGACTCGTATTTAGCACAGGAACCTCCCTCCTAGGGAGGAGGGGCACCTCCAAAGGGCAGGCAGAATTAGAAACTCAATTTAAATAGCACTAGGAATTTCTAGCCAAGGAAAATTTTTAAAATATTTATTTTGTGAATGTATTGGTTTAGACTGCAATGGAAAAAAAATAATTTAAGCCTGGGGGAAGGGGGACTGGCAACTGAATGTGAAAACACTGTGTGTTCTTTGAAAATAAGGGGGATAAAGCTGTGTTCTGGAGCAGCAAAGACCCAAATCTAGAGCTAAGAACCTGTGATTTAACAATTTCCAAACACATGCAGTGTTTTTTCCAACTCTGCAGTTTCTAGTTGTCAGACTCTTCTGAAGATTTTTGATCGTAGGAGCCTCGCTCAAATAGGAAGACTTAAAACGTATTACATATGAGTGAAATGGCTTCCCTTCCATTTCAGTTAAGTGGGAGTTTGCTCCTGGGTAGTTTAAAGCTCTCATTACAGGCCACTCACCGTCCTTGTGCCCTCACTTTGTAAGGGCTGAGAACTATAGCATAGGGCTAATGGAATGTGAAATGTTCTAAGAGTCAAGTTATATAGTTAGAAAAAACAAGTTATACACTCATCTCTTTTAAATACAAGCCAAGAGGAGGGAAAATTGCAAAATGTTCATGGAACCCCGGTCAAATGCTATAAATCTCTCAACCCCAGAAAGACAAACTACTGTTTGTTTAACAACCAACTGAATACAGATCACTGGGGTAGAGAAAGAGGGTGAGTAGTCTCAAGATGTGACAAAAAAAAAGTCTGTAAGGATGGATGATTTGGGAACTGACCATCTTTAAAGAATTCTGCCCATGGGTGAAGTGAGAAAGTGGGAATTTTGTTCTTGGATGGGGAAGGTTTGAAGAATCCTCATTCCATGCTGGTGAGTAGGAGCTGTTGGTTGCAGAAAAGCCACAGTGGAGATGATGCTCAATTAAAGTGATAAATACTAGCATTGCAAGGGGAAAGAACTGATTTGTTTTATTCAAAATACTCAGAATTTGTACTTGATAGAAATGTGATAGAAATGTGATTTGTACTTGATAGAAATGTGATTAGAAATGGGAAATCATAGTATAAAATCAGAGAATATAAATTGAGTCACATTAATATAATTCTAACATAATTTACTGCATGGTTGGGGACTTCTTACTGATTTTGAGGGCATAGTTACTTAACATTTACTGTGTGCCACTCTTTGTATTCATTTGATCATTTAATCCTTACAACCACCCTCACAGGTAGGCATTTTTTACAGACATGGAATCTGAGGCTGAGAAGTTAACTGACTCATTCGTGGTCACACAGCTGGTTAAGTGGCAGTCAGTTCATGCCTAGTCTCACAGAAAAACTAATGTTCTGCTTCTCTGTCCTTATGGAAGAGTTTTGTTAAAATAGTATTTTTTTCATTTTAGAAAGTGACCAGGTCCTTGGGCTCTACAGTTACCATGAAATAGTATGTCAGAGATGCAGATATGGAGTACTCATTGACAAAAACAATCAGAACATGCTTGTACCGAAATGTCAGTGGAATTTGCTGAAAATTGCTAAAGAACTGCAATTTTGCCCATTTTTGTCATCTACTTTTGTCTTATTGGGTAAAAATTCCAGGATATTTTCTTCCAAGAGGTGCCCTGAGTTTGTCAGATCACCCATAAGGCTTGTTTATAAACACATGTGCCTGGTCCTCACCCCAGACCTCCTCTATTAAAAGGTCCGTTGGGTGTGTGTATAGAGCTCCTGAGATGATCCAGCTGCATACTGCTGGCTTAGGGGAAGGAAAAGCAAACCTCGGGTATCATTATAATCACTGGGGAAAGAATTTTCAAAATTCTCATCCCCAGTCTTCTCCTTAAATCTTAACTAATCAGAAACTCTGGGGTTTGGTCCTGGGAATCTCTGTGTTTAAAGTTACCCAGTTAATTCTGATCACAGGCCAGACATGGAAGGCCCTGGTTTGGAGGTTAGCAGAAATGAACTCTGCTGGTTGTTTGCCAAGAGATATGCATCATACAGGGAGAAACAGGATTTTCAGTTTACTCTTGATTTATGACCTGATTCTTTCAAAACTGGCAAGACTCCAAAGAATGTGAGCTCACCTGAGAACTCATCTAATTTAAATAAGCATGTTTGACAATTTCTTCCTGATTACTTTTTTAACATCATTTATATTTCAGGTAAGGCTCTGCCCTCCCCGCGTCCCCCCAAATATTCTTTCTATGGTAGCAACTTTTACTTGCTGAATTACCTGGCTATATATAAAAGGAAAGCCAATTGAGATATTAGAGTACTTCCTATACACATCACTGTATGACATTTTTCTCTTAAGTTCAGCTCATTTAGGAAAAAATGTAAGAGGTTAGGTCATTTAAAGTTCAAAATCTACTCAAATTTAACAGGAATTGGGGGCACTTTCAGTTTTTGACAAGTCACTCCACAGCCTATAGTGCATTCTGGGCATGCAAAGGCCCAACTGCCCCCCAAACCTCATCTTTCCTTAGTCATTTTAGCTTTGAGCACCAAAACCTTTCCTTCCTCGGTGCTCCTCACACTTCTTAGCCCTCGCACATCCTCTAACAGGCTGGAACACTGCCCTACCCCCTCACTTCTCCCAATCAGACTTAAAACCACAACTCAGGTGTCATGTTCGTACAAGCCCTTTCCTGAAACACTAACCAGTAAATCAGTCCTCTCTGCTTTCAGTATTTTGGTTTTTAAAAATGTTTTATTAAAATTGTATTTCCTTACCTACATTAAGCCATAAAATCCTAGCGGGTAGGCAGTTTTATATTTGGTTCTGGACCACTGAGAAGCTTAGGGTGGTGAATGGTAGAAACAAACAGATCATTGCCATATAAAACATAGTGCCTAACCTATAATAGGTACTATTTGTTGAATGGATGAATGCTGAATTTTAGAAAGAACCAAATAAAGACATTTTAGCACATTTCAGAGAACAACTTGCAATAGTCCAGAAACAACTGTGTTCCCAAGTGAAAAGCAGTATAGTGTGGTTGACAAGTGTAGCTTTGGAGCTAGGCTGAGTTCAAATCTTGACTCTGCCACTGTACCATGGGGGAAGTTATGTCATTTGCAGTTACCAAACTATTAAACATGGGTAATAGAAGTGCCATCCTCAAAGGATTGCTGTAAAGCCTGAATGAGTGAATACACATAAAATGCTTAGATGGTGCCTGGCACATAAGTGCTAAACAAAATGTTTGTTAATGTTATTTCTACAGTGTACAAGGTACAAGGCTGGTTCTCCTTTCAAGAAACCCAAAACCAAGTGGGGAGAAGTAACAGAAATCTGTGAAAGATGTAACATACAGCAGAAAATTAGGTATTAAATGTCAAACAATTAAATACTGATGAAATAAATACACAATCTCCTGGGACAACTATTTTAAATAAAAGTACATCCATCTGTATGTTTAAGTTCATGTGTTTGCTCAAAAATAAAGCTAAAAAAGCTGCTCTAGCCCTAACTGGTGTGGCTCAGTTGGTTGGAGCATCACCCAAAAGTTCACAGGGTCAATTCTCAGTCAGGGCACATACCCAGGTTTTGGGTTTGATCCCCCATCAGGGCCAACAGGAGAAGGCACCCAATTGATGTTTCTCGCTCACATCGAAGTTTCTCTCTCCCTCTCTCTCTCCCCCTCCCCACTTCCCCTCTAAAAGCAATGAAAAAAAAAATGTCCTCAGATGAGGATAAAAAATAAAAAACAAAGAAGCAACTTCAATACTAGGTTGAGTTATATGGAATTGTCTACAGGTCAAAGACTATCAAATATTAGCATTTTTATTTGGTTCAAACCTAACATTTTCTAATCACACCTTGCTCACAAAAACTGAAGGCAAACTCTCCAAAGATTTATGAGAGAAAGAGAGAGAAGAGGAGAGGGGCTGAGAGGGGAGGAGAGGGCAGAGGAGGGGGAGGGGAGGGGAGGGGAATGTCTGCCCCTCTCTTCTCTTGTATAAAATTACAGATATTGTCTGTGATCAGTGACAAAAGGAGCAGACACAGATTTATTCATTTGACTTCAAGCCTACAGTAAAGATATTAAACTCATACTTACCACTTTGTTTTTCTAAATAAATTTATTTGAGAGCCATCAACTTGCAAAGGAGCACGTCAAACTTAACTAATGTTACTCAAATTTTTCTTTAATTAAGAAAAACCAAAGAAATTAGTTAACAATTTTGCACAACTATGCTCAATTGACAAAGATGATTTGTTTAAGAATCTTAAGGATAGCAGAGATGTATTTTTAAAAAAAGACAAATTCATTCTAAGACTAGAAAATACTTGAAGATAAAAATATTAATTCAATAGGAAAATATTTCATATTTCTTTATCAGACTATTAATTTAATTAGCCCATTTCTATATCAAATTATGCAGTACACATTTCTGTCTCTAGTCTCCCATGCAAAAAATTAGAGACTTTTTCTCAAAATAGAGCAAGTCAGTGCTACTGGCTTTAAGTCAGGGCTTGGAGTCAGCCCAGAAGAGCAATCTGGCCATTTACACTCACCTGAACCTCAGCCTGATGCTTTCTCCTTTTATATGGTCAAACTCTATTCTTAATGAATGATCCTTACACTTACTCAACAGATAAATTGCTATTAAGTGTATCTAAAAATTAAAATGATATCCAATGTGGAGGAGAGTAGCTGGAGCCTAACAACATCCTGGCATTCTCCTCATCTCAGCAAATACATAAAAATAATACTTTAACAAAAAGTATTCATCCTAACTGTTTTCCCTAAAATGCTATATAAGAAATTTGGGATTAAATGAAATTAGGATACAAGAAGTAATGAGTATACCTGAAAAGAGCTAAGAACTATAAGTGAGGACTGCTTCCTGTAATCCTAACCACATTATCTCACTGGTAATTTCCAGGATAATTATTGTTAAAACACAGTAAGTACTATAATGAAAATATAGGGATTCATTTATTACTTTTTGGTTTACAAACAAAGGCACCCAATAATGCTACTATTTACTTTTTATAGAATCAATTTACATTTAAAACAAAAAGCAAAAAAAAGCCCTGAACCAGTTCCTATAGACAAACACAAAAAAAGAGGGGAGAGGGAGAAGAAATAAGATTTTTTCCTCCCTGCTTCCAAGTTTTATTATACAGATTCAAAAAGCATTTATTTTATGCCATCCTTTTAAGTCAAAGAATGCATTGTCATGCTTTTTTGTGCTGAGTTTTAGGACATATTAATGTTGCCAAGTCAAATTTAAATACAGTCACAATTGACAAATGCATGTGACAGAATTATAAGACTCTAAGTGAATGGGGGAAAAAAACAATGTTTTACAACACAGCTTTGTCTAGTAAGTTATATGAAATATTGAATTTATTTAACTTAATAGGCTATATTGTTAAAAATTGAGTATGTATAGAAATTATAATCAAATTGAACTAAAAGCCATTTCTGGCAAATGACAATCATAAATGATTCCCAAAATCTTTTTAAATTTGAGTTAAGCTTAAAGTCTAGTTAGTGGGGATTAACAACCTATGTGTGCTTTATACTAATTTTAGAACTTTAACTTTTGGAATGACATGTCAATTATTCATTAGCTTTCTCTGGACAACAGAATTCTGTTAAACACACACACAAAATTAATGCAGTGGCCTCAGCACCCTCCCAGATAGCATTTAAGTTAGACTATAAGAACCAGGACACAGTTTAAAAGACATACACCCCAAATGTATTATTTTACATGCCTGTCGAAGTTGTACCTGATTTTTTCAAGATATAAAGACAATTCATCTGATTCTCAGTATATTTGGCCAGAGTATAAAAATCATACAACTGTGAGCATGTATTCAACACATTATGGAAACGTATTTGGGAAGATGGAACACTCAATGAAAAGAGCATCTATACATGGGACACTTTAAATCAAAGGCATTATCATTTATTCCATCTTTAGACACTGTCATGGTCTCTCACACCTTAAACAAGGTATGGTCCTAGGCCAGAGATTTCAGTGTCATTCCAAAGAACTTATATATGTGTTTGTATGCACGCGCACACACACACACACACACACCCATGCTTCTTTTAAAATAATGCTTAGAAATTTTACTACAGAAAAGCTGGCTTCAACATGGAAGCATTTTTTCTTTTTAAGACTACACACCTGCATGTAAGAAGGTGATTTCCTTTATGCTTAGTTTTTTCACAATAACAAAATAAACTTCTTATATGTTACATTTAAATTGACAAAAAAAATTAAGATGTAAAGTTCTATATAACTTTTTGTATTGTGAACTGACCTCATTAAACACATTCAAGATATACTGTTGGTGATTTAAATATAGAACTACTTGATCGGCTAAATTAAAACATGTTATACTGAGCAATCTGTTAAACTACATGTTAAAACAGTAAGGAGAGTTAACTACTATTAAGGTTTAAAGGGAATCATAATGTATCATTAAAATATACATTAATTTTCTTGCTATTACTTGTTTCTATAATGCATCTCTTTTAAAGCTAAAACCACATGCAGAAAAAAAAATAAATTATTATCTTCAAACTAATTCAACAGTTTGCTACTTTATGTGGTATGTAAATAAAATCCTTTATTTAATTTTATACATATTATTTTATGCATTTTATTTTTCTTGAATGAATTCAACTCTTCAGGTCAAAAGTTAGTATGTGTTTACACACATGTGAGAACATTTTCTTAACGCTATGTCTATCTGCAAATATAGTCTTCCATAATAATGCACTTTCAGTTTTCACTGGGAAGACAGCATAAGCCTTTTGAAAGTCTTACTAATAAAATTTATAAAGGAAGGAGAGTACAAGTATGGTGAATCCCTTCCCAACCCCTCATTTACCAAAGTCTCAAGAAATCTTCCAGCTTCAAAACATGAATGACATCTCACACAGGACTGATTTCTATTTGGTTAAAACGTGGACAAGCAAAATGTATTCTTATTTTTGGATGCTAATAGTCTTATTTAATTCATTTTCATTTTCCTTCAAAAAACACATAGCATATATTGTTATGGATTTACAAACCCATTTAGATCCAGCAGGATCTTTAGAATAATATATAGCCTTCTGATTATGAAAGCAACTGATTGCTCATAGAAAAATGATATGCATCAGACCTTTAATCACAAAAAGAAAAATGATAACATATCTTTCATGTCTAGACCACTCAGTAACTTACAGGATGATGTGAAAATAATTTGGCTATAAATTTAACAAAACTTCAGCTAATGAAAAAAAAAATTAAACACTGAAGAATCAAATACCTACCAACTTAGCTAGTATTCCTGTCCAAATAAATGCTTTCCATTGTACTAATTATTAAAATTAGAAGTTCACTATATGTTAAGGCATATTTTAATTAATGTGTTCCAGAATTGCACAGTTATACTGGTCAGTGTTCCCATATCCCCACTTCTACCCTCACCCCACCCCTTTCCCAAGGGATCAAAATATTAAGTAATGGTTTTTGGTGGCTATTGCAGATCTGAGCTGGCATACCACAGTGTGTTCACTAGATTTTTATGAGCATAAACATTAAAATGTTACATAAAATGTACTATAATTTACTCCACACTCTGATCTAAGATGGTTTAATGTCTTGACAAAAGGTGAGATGACTTAAGTACATTTTACATTTTGTGCATTTAGACCACCATATATGCATAGATGTTCTAATGCTAAATTCTTTTCTTCAGTATCTCATAGTGCTGGATGCTCGGAAGTATGACAGAAACTTGTAACACAGACTAACCACAAAGTACCAGATGTTTCTCGCCATTTGTGATCTTGCAATAAAAATGCGCCAGATCAGGATCACAAGGATAGTATTGAAACCATAACGTATGTTCCTCAACCTAAAAGCAAATCAAGAAATGTATTAGGCAATATTTTCTAGAATAAAATATTGTTAAATGGCACATAATGCTCCATTTTTAACATAAAGTTCAAATCCAAATTAATTTGAAATTTATTTAAAAACTATAAATCTTTAAGTTATAAAGTTAGCAAAAGTCACACCTGACTGCCCATACTCTGGACTGCAGTCCATTAAACAATGTATTTCCCCTATTAACAATGAATAACAAGAGCTTTTTTATAACAGTATATGTGAGATGCAAATTTGTTCATTCAGCAACTACTGAACATCCATTTGTGTGCCCAGTACTGTGCTAAGCAGCAAGCACACTGTAAGTAAAACAGACATGTCCCTTACATACTTGGAGCTTTTTCTTCCTAAAAAGGTTTGTTCATTACATACATCATCCTACAGACAAAACAAACATCTCTGTAACATCTGCTTACAAGTTGTCAAACAAGTGAACTTACTCCTCCTATTATAGCTGATAGTTACATGATCACAGACCAATCGGACAAGAACACATTCATGAATGAACATGGCACTAACTCTATATAGGACCACACTTCCATTCTCTAAGTAACATGTGCTTTATCACACTCATGTTTCAAAACAAATTTATGTTTTTAACGGTGTTAGAAAAGAATGCAAACCTTCAGATATGCAGTAATGTTACATACAGTCCATTAACTTCAATAAGTGGTATAAGATAGGACAATATGTGAACAACAGGTATAGACAAAAGAGCTTTGAATTACATGCCAAAAGTCACTATTCTGGTTTGTTTTGCCACTTAATACAATATGACCTAGGCAAACACAACTTCCCTAAACCTTGATTCCTCACCTATACACCTAGGTGCCCTACAAAATCTCATAGAGTTGCAGGCACAAGAATAATAATGTGAAAGTCTTAAAACCTGTCATAAAAATTGTATTACTAAACTACAAATAAAACAGATTAGTATTAAAATTTTAACAGCATTTCTGAATGATAAATTAATAATGATTTTGCCTCTTCTATTTTCTGTGTTTTTTTTTTAAACAATCCACATGTGTTACTTTTATAAGATACGAAGGGAAATAATTATAACTTTTATAAACAAAGAAAAACTCCATGTTAAATGATGTATTACTGAATCTCTTTTCCTTTCAATGATATATCAGATAGGGCAAAAAACCTTTAAATAAATAAATTACCTCCAGTTTAAAATGTATTTTTATTTTCTCCTAATGTCTTTACTTCTTCAGGAGCAATATAACGGAAGATAATACTGATTTTTAAAACTGAATTATACCTGCACATTGTGCTAAGGAAGAGTGTAAGCTGATGAGGATATCAAGTTTCAATAATATTAGGCTAAATCAATACTACCAAAGTTCTAGTCCAAAGGTAAGCACTTTTACCAAATGCAATACATTATTAGCAGTATCTTTCATTCACTATAGCAGCTTACCAAAAAAACTCTACTATTTCATAGGGAAGAAAAGAGGAAATCAAATCCATGTAAAACTTACTTGTTCAGATGTTTTCTAGCTGCAGGGAGGCCAGACATTTCTTCATTCAAAACATATTTCTTAGTTCCCATGCAGTAGTTCTCTATGTACTCTGCCCAATGTAACTGCCGTACATCAATATTAAAGGTCTACATAAACAAAAAAATTATTGGTTACTTGCTTAAATTTTTAACACTAGTCAAAAATTTATGTTTTTTTCTAAAGGCTAATTCCAAAGGACATAATTACAAAATGTTTACCATATTAACTTTTAAAATCTTACTGCTATTTACAAAAAAGTTATTCCTATTCCATACCTTCCATTAAACACAAAAACATCTGAGAAGATAATCTGAAAACTCATGTTAGCATTTAAAGAGCACATGAAGTGTGAGGAAAAAGAAGCCGGCACCATCCAAGAAAAAAACAAATACAAAAGACAAAATCCCATTATCCAAATAGATCTATGTGTTCCTGACTACTTTATACATGTATTAATGCACTGATTTCCAGTTTGTGTCTGCAGTATCTCCTCTCTTCTTGAACATCCTGCATACCTGATAGATTGATTAATTTTCCTAGAGAACAGTACTGACATCAAGAGAAAGGATGTTATAAAGCTGGCTTAGAAGTTTAGACAACAGTAACCAGGCCATCTGCTGAAAAGGGTAGACAAATCTAGAAATAAAAAGCCTTAAAAAATGCTATTTCATGACAAAATAAGAGGGCTGTGCACAACTCAGTGTTCCTCCATACACTTGGATAAACAAATTACTCACTATATACCATCACTTACATAAACACAGTAAGTTCTAGACACCTCCCTCCCAAAAAAGCTACCATAAATCACTCGTTAAAGTAATATCACCTTAAAATGGAGACTTTAGAACATATGAGGAGAACATACATATGTATGATTGATCCCCACAGAAGAGTGAAAAAGAATGCAACAGAAGCGATATCTGAGAAGACTGGCTGGAAATTTTCCCAAAATAATGAGACATCAAGGCACAGATTCAAAACTCACATATACTATATGCACGTACGCACACACGCGCACCCCCCCCCCACCCCGCTAAGCATATCAGAGTGAAACTGTTGAAAGTCAAAGAGAAAAATTTTAGAGGACTTCCAGCCAACACAGAGGCACAGGTAGATATACTGTGCCTCCTCGCACAACCAAAACAAGGACAACAGTAAATTTAAAAACAAAAAATAACCAGAAATGCCAGAAAATCGAACTGTATGGAAGTCCAACAACCAAAGAGTTGAAGAAGAAACATTCATCTAGACAGGTAAGAGGGGCAGAGACAGGCAGCCGGGGGGCGGGGGGGAGGACTTGAGACATGGTGGCAGCCAGAGGACCAAGCAAGGCTGTGGCTTACGGACCAGGCAGTCCCACATTTGGGTGTGGATAAAACTGAAGAAACAACTGGGGAGCCAGACAGACCATGTGACCCGAGGTTCCAGCATGAGGAAATAAAGCCTCAAAACCTCTGACCAAAAAAATCTGTGTGGGTTGAGGCAGCAGGAGAAACTCCCAGCCTCAGAGGAGAGTTCATTGGAGAGACCCACAGGGTCCTAGAACGTACACAAACCCACCCACCCAGGGATCAGCACCAGAAGGGCCCAATTTGCTCATGGGTAGCTGAGGAAGTGACTGCAAGCCCACAGAGAGCTGAGTATTGTTCCCTCTCGGACCCCTCCCCTACATACAGCGCCACAGCATAGTGACAAGGGTTGTCCCACCCTGGAGAATATCTAAGGCTCTGCCCCTTACCATGTATCCAACAAAGCTATCATTTAGAATGGAAGGGCAGATAAAGTGCTTCCCAGATAAGGTAAAGCTAAAGGAGTTCATCATCACCAAGCCCTTGTATGAAACATTAAAGGGACTTATCTAAGAAAAAAGAAGATCAAAAATACAAAGAGTAAAATGTCAACAAACTCACAACTATCAACCACGGAACCAAAAAAAAAAACAAAAACAAAAATGAACTAAGCAAACAACTAGAATAGGAACAGATTCACAGAAATGGAGATCACATGGAGGGTTTTCAGTGAGGAGGGGGAGAGGGAAGAATGGGGGAAAAGGTAGAGGGAATAAGAAGCACAAATGGTACGTACAAAATAGACAGGGGTGGTTACAAATAGTATGGGAAATGGAGAAGCCAAAGAACTTGTATGCATGATCTATGACCAAGAACTAAGTTGGGGGAATGATGGTGGAAGGGGGTGTGCAGGGTGGAGGGGAATAAAGGGGAGAAAAAAATGGGACAACTGTAATAGCATAATCAATATAATATATTTTTTAAGAAAACAAAAGTTTGGAAGTCATCAGAAAAATACCATATACATTACCTCCAAAGGAACAACTAACAGTGGACTGCTCAAAAAAAGCACTGGGAAGCCAAAGACTGTAAGATGCCTTCCCAGTACTCCAAGAAACCAGCTGACACAGAATTCTACACCAACACAAGTATCTTGGAAGAGTACTGATGTTTCCAGAAGAATGAAAACTGAGACGATCTGACATCAGTGGAACACCCACACTAAAGAAATTATGCTGAAGGGCATTCTTTAGGCATAATGAAAATGAATCCAAATTAAAGTCTGAGACAGAGAAGGCAAAAAGAATAAAATGACAATTATGCAGGTAAATGAATCATTCATCTATATGAATACTTATTGCATAGACTGCAATGAGAATAAGTTATGAGGCATATAACACATACAGAATTAAATATGTAAAAACAAGAGCAGATAGTTGGTAGCTCTTCTATTTTCCAGGAAAAGGTGGAATTATCAATATTATACTTGATGCTGATAAGTTAAGGAAAGCTGGTATAATCTCTAGAGTAACCTACTAAAACAGAAAAGGAATATATTTCTATGTAACTAATACAGATGGGAAAATATGAAACTGTAAAACTAACCAAAGAAAGCAAAAAAAGAACTTTAAACAGGAGGGATCAATAGAAAGAACTGAGTCAGATTTAAATCCCAAATTATCAGGAATTATATTATGGATTAAATCCTCCAATTAAGGGTCAAAAATTGTGAGACTTAAAAAATCCATATGCTATTTATAAGAGGAATAACTGAAAGATAAGAATACAGAAAAGTTGTAAGTAAAAAAATGGGGAAAGATACACATTTCTAACAGCATTGTATGAAAATGCCCATTTGCCCAAGGCCCCACCAGAGTATGCTGACAGTCTGCATTTTTTGCAAATCTGCTAAACAATAAATATCTCACTCTAGTCTTAATTTGTATTTCCCTTTTCATGAGTGATATTGATATATTTTCACATGGTTAAGAATCATTTATGAATTATTTTTCTGTAGACTGTTCATTTCTCTACCCCTTTTTCAATAGGATTATTGACATTTTGGTTATTTCTATACAACATTTTCATGTAATATGAAATGCACTGAGATACCATGACACACCACTAAAGTGGCTAAAATTAAAAATTAAAATGCCAAATGTTGGGGAGGATGCAGATTAACAAGAAGTCTCGTACACTGCCACTTGGAAGGTAAATTAACACAACCACTTTTGAAAACTGGTGTTATCTACTAAATTGAACATACAAATACCCTTTGATTCATCTATTCTATTCTTAGATATATATCCTACACAAATGTGTGCATATAGTTCACAGAATTACCTGCAATAACCAAAAACTGAAAATAACTCAAATGTCTATCAACAAAAGAATTTTAAAAAATACTGTATACCATTTGTGTAAAGTCAAAAATGGATAAAACAGTATTAGAATTCAAGACAAATTAGGAGAGACGAGGTAATGATTGCAGGAGTTATGAGGGGATTCTTTTCTGCAGTTAATGTCTATTTTTTCTAGGTATTAATTTTCTTCAGGTTATTAATTTTCTAATCACCCATTGAGCAGTATACATTGTACAGTAAAATGCAGGATGGGAGGGCAAAGGGGTGGTGGAGGAAAGTATGGAATCAGCAGAAGCCATAAATCTTTCAACACAGAAATGGGTAGAGGAACAGCTCACTTGAGAACTTCTGCTATGCAGAACCAGCAGAATGGTTATCTGCACTATCCAATACATTATCCACAAGAAGCCACACCACCTCGTGGACACTTGAAATGTGGCTAGCCCCGGAACTGACATTGCTGTGAAGTGTAAAATGCACACTGACTTTTGAAGGTTCAGTGTGAAAACTACAAACTCAAATATCCTTTAAATAATTTTTAAAATTTTAAGTAACTTTTACATTTCTGCTCAAATTATACATTGTTATGGATATAATGGGTTAAATAAAACATATTATTTTTTAAAAGTTTTAAGTGGGAAGAGAAAGGAAGCTGGTATTGAAAAGATTTTTTTAAAAATCTCCTTTGAGACACTGTAATCATGAGCCAGCCCTAGAGTCTATTTAAGGCCTGTATTTACCTGAGTTATGCTAAAAATCTAATAGATATTTTAAAATCGTCTTGGCTTGTTAATACTACCTAGCTTGTTACTGCTAACAGTCACTAGGCTATTGGTGGGAGCATAGGTAAATCCTTATTGGAAAACTGCAATTTCAATGTAGGCCTCAAAAAATTCCCATAAAAATCTTTAAGGAATATGAATTTACAAACACCAATAAAAAACAAAGAAACAAGGTGTCATGAGTAAGACCAGGCTTAAACAGATAAAAGATCAGAGACTGCCCTGCCTGTAGAAGTTTGAATGATCTGAAATCCAATTTAGAACAATGTTTAAGATGTTTCCAGAAAAAAATTCTAAAGATTATTTAAGAAATGTCTGTAAGATTTAAAATATAAGTTGAACTTCTAAAAATAAAAATAACATTCAACTGGGTGGTTTAGACACAGCTGACAGACTGCCACAGAACTTTAATAAATAATCTAGATTTCGGGCCAGAAACAAAAAGATACAAAATATAAAATTAAAGGTATAAGACCCAGAGCAATGATCTAATATACACTAAAATTTCACAAGATAAGAAACAATGGTTAAGTATTTTCCTGAATTGCTAAAACACACCAAACTTCAGATCTAGGAAGACCAACCAAAACAAGATAAAAATTTTTAACAGTCTTTTCTTTTTCCTTTATGTTATTGTTGTTCAAGTACAGTTGTCTGTACTTCCCCCCTACCCCAGCCATCCCCACCTCCCTCCCCATTTCACTCCCCCCTTGGCTTTGTCCATGTGTCCTTTATGGTTTCAAATCAAGATAAATTTTTAAAAATTACACCCACATTCATAGTAAAACTGCAGAACATTAAGCACAGAGAAAATCTCTTGAAAAAGAGCTAGGATTGACAGATCATCTGAAAGGCAGCAGCAATTTAGACTGACTTTTCAACAGCAATAACATAAGACAGAATATGAAAAGAAAATTACCTTTAATGCTTAAATCATGTTACAAAAACAAGGGTAAAAACACGTCATACAATCAAAAACCTAGAGTTCACTATTAACAGACACCCTGCTAAATCATATTCTGTTACTCTGGGTATATACATATATATTTTAAGATTTTATTTTTTTTTATTTTTCAGAGAGGGGAAGGGAAGGAGAAAGGGAGAAAAACATCAATGTGTGGTTGCCTCTCAGGTGCCCCCCACTGGGGACCTGGCCCACAACCCAGGCACGTGTCCTGACTAGGAATTGAACCAGCCACCCTTTGGTTTGCAGGCCTGTGCGCAATCCACTGAGCTACACCAGCCAGGGCTACTCTGGGAATATTCTCAAGGCAGAAAGAAAATGATCCGAAAGAGAAGATCTGACAGCAAATACATTGGTAACCATGTAGTTAAGTCTAAATAAAACTGAACAAAAATAATCATTCAATAGATAACTAATGTATAACCATATAACCTAATGGAGGTTGTAATCACAGCTAAAACATTTTAAGGTCCTGAATATCACTGAGGAAGACGCTACAGAAATTGCTTAATTTAGATTTTGTTAGGTATGCACATTAAAATATCTAAGGTAAACTCAAAAAGAACACACAAAAAGTTAAAGTTTCAAATTAACAGAACTGTGGAATGATAAAAAGTGAAAGTGTACACAAAAAATAATTTCTGAGAAGAGGTTTTTCTCAAAACTCAAAACAAAGTATTTGGGGGGAAATGCTAAAGAAGCTAACATTCTCTTTCAACCTGACATTAAAATAAATAAGAAAAAAATGGACATTTCAATCATACTTTAAAAACAGCTCTGCCACAGCCAAATACTTGCACATTATAAATTCTAAGGTAAAGGAATTTTATTTCATCACCAACAATTATGAATGAAGTTCTTAATGAAAGACTATAAAAAGATCAATGACTTTCTTGTTGCATAATGGTTGTGAAAAATATGCAATTACTTCTCAGCTTGCAGATGACTGTCTAATTAGTAAGCTACTTATTTACTAATATAAACCAGAAAATACTTGCCTTTTTATCTTCAGGATTTAGTTGATTCATTAACATAATAACATTGTCAGTATTCCAAACCCAAGAATTACTTGTGAAATATTCAAGAAACACCATAGCTTTGTGAAGACGAGTTATTGTTTTCATCATCCTGTATTATAAGAAAATGAGATTCATATTTTGTATAGATTAGAAAAAAATGTCATCACCACCTGTGACATCAGTTTCTAAACTGGAACATTAACAGTAAAATCATAATACATCATTCAACAAATGTACCAAACTGACAGGTAATGAGAATATTTCTGTATTTGGAAAAATATTTCATAAACACAAAATCTGAAAATATTTTTAAGCAATGGTAAATGAATTTAATACCACCTTAATACAGGTCTTTTGATATATGGAATTAATTTTGAAAGAAAATACAATGCTTTAAGATCAATTTTCTTAAACCACATTGTACTAAAATTTTCTGTGAATTTGTAACATTGTATTACATTATACAGAAATATTCATTCTTTCTATCTGTATACATATTAAGTAACTTTCCTTTCACACTGACAAAGATGACTCTTGATACTCTGGTTGTGTCATGAAATCAATGACTCATGCTGAAAACTTTCTGAAATATTTACTCATTTTCCCAAATCCCCAATATTCATCCTTATAGATGAATAATAGAAATAAGGGCACCTGATACTATTTTGTTTCTTTTTGAAAGGGTGAAGGGCCTTAATCTTTCAATTTGTCATTTTATATATTGCTGCTCACTGTAAGCCATTGATATCATAACACTAACCTGAGCAGTAATATCCATGTAATCATTACCTATGATAAGTAGCTAAAGGGGAGGAATTTTTTGATAATGAAGCACACACCAGAAACTCCTCACCTCTGATAAACAGAAAAGTAATTTGTGAAGAAATACTCCCCGCAAAACCCTCAATTTATAGTCCCCCATTATGGACTAGCATTATATGCAATTTAGAGAGTCCTGAAATCAAGAACTTTAGAAACAGAGAAAAATCAGAATATTAGAAATGGGGGAGGGGGGAGTCAAATTAGTAACATAGTTAGTTAAGCAATTCTTTTGACATATTCAGTACATTTAGAAAGATACCCTGAATTCAGAATATTGAGAAAAATGAGGTAACATAGACTATGTAAAAAAAAACCCCTGTAGTTTATATAAGAAAGCAAGTACAAAACAAAACCTCCATTAAACATGAAAAGAATTATTGGGTCTCAAAAGGCTTTATTTGAACAAAAACAGTTCATATGGACAGAAAGCCTTGGTGGAAAGAAATTAGACATGCTACTTTTAGAAAAGAGATTAAACAATTTTTTCTAAAACAATGACAAAAACATGTAAGAAATTTGTGATTAAATCAATATCAAATGTCACAGCCAGTATAGTAGAAATTAATCACACATATACACATATTTGGCTAGCATGGCTTTCCAACATACATCTTATTTAAAAGTTTTTCTTTTTAACTCCTTTTTCACTGACAATTCTCACCTAGTCTTCAGATTCAGTCATGTGACAGAACTACCCTAAAACCAATCACTGTTTCAGCCATTCAAAAATAATTACAGTAAAAAATTAGAGTAGGAAAAGGAAATTTTAAAGGTCACATATGTGTCAAGTTCACAGACTACCAAACCTAAGGAATATAAAAAGAAACAAAACTTTGCACTGTCATTCTTTGGTTAAACATGACATAGGAACAAATGCCTGGGATGATATTGCCATATACTTGTATATTTAAGTATTTACTTATTCTTTATTTTGGTAACCCACAAAAATAATCAATCACAATCCTTTAAAGTAGGGCAAGATCTTAGTGGTCATCCAGCCCATGGTTTCTCAACCTCATCACCAGAGACATTTTGTGCCAGATAATTCTTTGTGGTGAGGGCTGTCCTGCTCATTCTAAGATACTTGACATCACTGTTGGTCTCTACTAACTCAATGCCAGTAGCATTTCCCCAAGTTGTTGTGGTAACTAAAAATACTCCAAATATTGTCAAATGTCCCCTGACTAAGGGGGCCAAAATTGTCCCCTGTTGAGAACCACACAAATATTAGGGCCAAAGAATTTAAACTAGAAAAAAGTTAAGCTAAATAACTGAAAAAACAAAACCATGGAATGATTTTTTAATGTCATTTTTAACAGTGATGAAATATCTACTATATTTTAAGAACTGGAGTAATTTATACTACTTCTACATGTACTATCATGCATCCTAGTCCCTAAAGAGTATTACCCAGGAATCTGTATGATGCATACGAGTCGTACTTACAAATTTACAATTATATCAATATATAAGCAAGTCAGATTTTTTTCTAGCTGACAGAATAAAGTAAATGAGTGAAATGGACACCATGAATGATTGACATTAGTTTAATGTAGAAGTAGGCATTATACTAAGACCCCAATATAAGGTATAAAGCCCAGTACCTTGCTCAGTAAATATCGGAACAAATTAAGTAATATAAATTGTACAACTTTGTATTTAACATTTATAAAGTTGACTAAATAAAAAACCTTTATATCTCTTTTTGCTTTTAGACTATAAACTCCCAGAGGTCAAAGATAATTCTTGATTTGAAAACCTCACACAGAACAAACCTCAGATAAGATTCTTTATTTGATGTTTCCTATTTGGAGTATATTTTAATTTCAAAGGTGGCTACAATATTATCTCCCATTCTACATGCTCACCCATAACATCACCTTGACTATCTTTCCCATCGAAAAGTGAAAGTAACTTATACCCAATAGAATGAGGTAGAAATGACACTGTGATTTTCAAGGGTAGGTAAGAAAAAGTGAAAGAGCTTTCTGCCTTGCTTGCTGTAACACTCACCCTTGAAGCCTTCAGTAGCCATGTATGCTGTCCAACTTCCCTAGAGGGTGTAACATTGTGAGGAAGCCCAAACTAGGCCATGTGGAGAGAGCACATGGAGAGGCTCTGAGGTGACATGAAGAGAAAAAGATACTGGGCCACCCCAGCTGCTCCCTTCTTCTCCTTTTCCCCTCCCTCCAGTGTACTTTCTCCAGTTCCTATCTGACTACAAACACTTGAAAGACTCTGGGACAGAACCACACAACCAAATCCTTCTAGAATTCCTGACCCACAGAAATCATAAGAGATAAAGAAAATGATAGTTGTTTTAAGATATTAAGTTTGAGGTGATTTGCCATGCAACACAGATAAAAGGAACAGATCTTAGTACTGGGAGTGTGGGGATGCTATAATAAAAATCTAAAACATGTAGTGTTGGCTTTAGGATCAGGTGGTAGACAGAATCTAAAAGGTTCTTGAGGAGACTACTGGTGAAACCCAGAAGGACCAAGAAAAGAATTTTAGTGGTATTCTTAAAGGGCTTTAATGAACCTGTTGGTACGGCCTTAAAGAAAATTGACATGGGAGGGAAGTGGGGAGGGATGGGTGGGTGGGCTGGAATGGGAGTAAAAGGGAGAAAACTGTACATGAACAATGATTAAAATGAAATAAAAAAAAAAAGAAGTGATTTCCCATGGAAAAAAGAAAGAAAATTGACAAAAATATTGTAGGGAGTCAGAAGAACAAAACTGTCACTTGTGGTAACATGAAAAACAGAAACTGCACTAACTTGATGATCTAGCCTAAAAGATTTCCTCAAAGAGGATGAAGATGATCTTTAAAAGTTGAACTATTTGTCTAAGTGGAATTTAGAGACAATGTAAAACATCAGCCGGGAATTCTTTTAGAAAGTGTCTTCTGTGCATAGGTCTAATCCATAACACAGATGTAAGATTTTGGTCAAGACCTCAAAAAGATCTAAGGTAGTACCTGAGGAAAACAGATAGAAGAAATAAAGTGGAATCACTATAGTCAAGCTGCTAAATTACTAAAATCAACTATGCTGAGCCATGAAGAAACAATACTATTCCTGTTTTAACTAGTCTGGTAACTTCAACTTTGAACTTTTCAGTCCTGTGTCAATGCCTGGATATACATAAATTTATTGTGTGTAACTACATGGATATATACCAGACCTCCAGACAACCCTCTGATAACCCCGTAAAGGACTCACATACATCCAGAGCACAGGACATCCACCTGACATCCATTATCCATATGACTGGATATAACCAGACCTCCTCACACTCATCCTCCAGATTCCAGACCAACCAATGTCTGACAAATAACTGTCCTGGTCCAATCCCAGGACTGCAGGACCGATTCTTCTCAACAATGTACTTTTTACTATAAAATCTCTTAACTTTCCTTTCTTCTTCAGAATATTTTCAGTATTGCCTAGTTGTTTCCAGTTTGTAAACCCTAAAACCCCTGAATAAGTCTTTATCATTTATTTCTAGCCAAAGTCTCCAGACTCTGAATTCTTTCAAAAAAAACCTCATAGAACCTTTCAAACAAAAGGCTTACTCCAGATCCTAAAGAAATGTCTCACAGAAACCCTACTGTTGCTCTGGCTGGTGTAGCTCAGTGGATTGAGCACAGGCTGCAAACCAAAGGGTCTCCAGTTGAATTCCCAGTCAGGGCACATGCCTGGGTTGAAGGTCAGGCCCCCAGTGGGGGCCACGTGAGAGGCAACCACACACTGATGTTTCTCTCTTTCTCCCTCCTTTCCCCTCTCTCTTAAAATAAATAAACAAAATCTTAAAAAACAAATAAAAAAAAAAAGAAGCCAACTATTTAAAAGGCAGGATCTAAGAGTCTAGTCTAAGGATCTAAGAGACAAGAATCTAAGATCTAAGGGTGTTATCCCATAAGTAATCTCATAAAGAACCCAAGACAAAGAAGGACATGTCTCAAAGAGATCTATGGGTATGGCTTTGGTCTAATGGAAACTGTTTTAAAATGAATACCTGGGAAACCTAGAGTTTTAAAAGGAATCATATCAAGAAGTCTTACTGGCCTAATGGATAAGGCACTGGCCTCCTAAAATGAATCATTTCAGCTTACACTTAAAGGGACAGGACAGTACAAAATGGAAAGAGGCCTCTGGATCAAGGATTAACCAGAGCCTTAGAGCCAATCCACCTGCTGGTGTAAATAAAGTTTTACTGGAACACAGTCATGCTTATTCAATCACATACTGTCTATGGATGTCAAGCTGAGTAATTGCAAGGTGAAGTCTACAATTAAGAGCAGAGTTAAGTAGTTGCAACAGAAACCATACAGCCCTTTAAAGAAGCTGATCCCTGCGCCCTGGGGACTCCAGCCTTTTCTGGGCAGGAATTAGGTTAAGAAGTCTACTTAGTTACCATCACAAGTTGAGAGGAAATACATTAAAAGAACTAATAAAATCACTGCTGCTGTTTTAAGCCACTCAATTTGAGATGATTTGTTATGAGGCAACATCTAACATAAATTATTTAATCAAGTTTGGTTACTCACTCATTTTTTAAGTTTACTAAGCATCCCCCCCTTTTTTTCTGTAAGGCATTGTGATATATTTATATTTAACCTGTTTTCCTTTTTTGATCTAGTTTTGACTTTTTGGTTCTAAGTTACAACTTTACTAATATCAAGAAAACATGCACTGCCATCACTCATAAATTTACAGCTGTTTTTTAGCCACAAAGAATGTTGCTAGGGACAAATATTGTACTTTTCAGATCATTCTAGAAAACCTGAAAATAACCTGCATATATTGGTGATCTTTTTTCCATTAAGCATTTCTTTACTAAAGTTCTTCAACAACCCTCACATTCAATACTACACATATAGAGTTAAGAAACATAATGTACAACTGAATCAACAGAAAATCCCTCCAAGTAACTCAGGTCCTTGATACACTATAAATGGTAGATATCTGACTTTTATTTTTTGAGCAGTTGATGGAAGTTCCAGAACCAGCATCTTCTTTATACATGAATATTCAAATCCTGAACTCCCCAATTAAAGAGCCCACTGTAATGTCAATGTAGTTAAAAACTATTTTATGAGACATTTCATTATAATTGTGGTAAAAACAGGAGGGCTTTATGTAAGTTTGTGGGGTTTTAATAAAAAAATAAAAGAAAGCAAAAAGGCTATATCAACTGTAAGAAAGTAGAAAGTTTTTGATTTGTTAACTTTTTAAAAAAATACTATATTTTCAACTTAGAAATTAGTCAAAAACTATAACATATTATAAGCTGAATGGGCAACTGAGATAATTCAAGCAATTAATTTTCTAGAAGCATCCTATGTTTTTCATATAAAACTGCAGAGTCTACTTAAAACAAAACATTTTACCCATAATCCCCTATAAAACTACCCCTATATTTTTAAGGGGAAGTTGATAAGGGCTCAATTTCAGCTTATAATAACAATGACAACCTTGATGTTGGACATTTC